AGAAAGATTCCGTGCCTACTTATTTTCTATTCCGCTTGGCTTTTGAAAAAAAATAACTTTTTAATTTAACAGTAATATAAATATAAATGGGTTCTTTCTGGAAAGAACTACATCTTTAATGGAAATATCAAGAAAGAGTGGATCTAAGTTTATTGACAACATTAGCAAGATGTGAAGAGTTAACCTTTTTTCTCAATCAGATATTGCTGATTTGATGGATTTATAAAACAAAGGAAAAAACTATAAGGCAGGAGATTTGGTAACTTCTCAAATCAGGGTTAATCCCCTAAAAGTAATTGATATCTAATGTAAAGCATTTTTTTTCTTGCTGTCATGTATTCTCAATTAGAGTAGTCATTGAGATATAAAGAGTTTTACAATATTTTAAACCACTGTTAAGATAATTTAGCTTAGTGGCTTTCATACATTTTTGTATACCATACCCTATAATTTTCCTTGTGCCTAGTACACCCATAACTATGTATATGTGTATTTAAAAATAAATAACAGGATCAAACAATATTATAATACCTATACTTTCTTATATGTGAGGCATTTTGATATCTTCTCTTCCTTTGTATATGCTGGTTACAACTATATGATTGAATTCGTGACCTCCCAGTGGATGACAAGCTGCAGTTTGAAAACTATATATCTAGATGAAACTGCTAACCCGTGCAGGAATCCTTTTGGCAGTCTCCCCAACAGAAGATCAGAAATTCTGCTAGTACACATTCTATGATGTTTCTGCTTCACCAGGAGCTTCCATTGTGTGAGAATTTTGGTTAGAAACTGGAAACTACTTTCCTATAATCTCCTAGAGTTGATTCCAGTGTATGTTCCCTCCCTTCCTAAGGCCTTTGCTAAGCAGCTACTCTGTGTCAGAGACTGTAGTGTCTACGGCAGGTAGACAGTTAGGAGCAAGTCTTATTTTCCCAAGAGGTTTTACTTCAGTAGAGGTGTCTGCCACTTAGAAATGAATTTTACAGTTGAATGTTATTTTACAAGATAAAATATAGTCTCATTCCTTGTCCACATAACAGACTTTAGAATACGAAACTTCTACTGCCCCTGTATTTATTTTTGCCACAACTAAACATCCCCAGTAACTACACATTTGCCTTTGAGGCCATTAAACATTTTTAAAAATTTTTTTGTAGAGACAGGGTCACTCTAGTCTCCAACTCCTGGCCTCAAGTGATCCTCCTGTCTGGGCCTCCCAAAATGCTGGGATTACATGTGTAAGCCACTGTGAATGGCCTCTCTCTCTTTTTTAGTGGAGGAATACTTACACACAGTGAAATATACATATCTTAAGGGACAGTTGGATCGATTTTTACAAATGCATACACTTATGTATCTTTCCTAGCAAGACAAAAATACATTTCCATCGCCCCACAAAGTTCCCTCCTGCCTCCTCCTAGTCCATCTCCTCATCGCCACTTCCCAGCAGAAGCAATCATTGATCTGATTTCTATCATCACAGAATAATAATAAGGTCATCATTTCACTGCCTTCTTGGTCCACTACTTAACCCCTGCTCTTAACTCCTTAGCTGGAATATAATCTCATTTGTCAAAATCCTTTTTGAAACTAGTTATTTGCAATGTGATATGTTAATCCAAATGTAGTTTCAATAATCTGGAAAACCAATAATATCTAAAAATTTAGGGGAATCTCATAAATAACTCTGCTAGTTCATGGAGTTTGAGATTAAAACTCCCAGGTCTAAAAAGAGTTGTCATAAACTAACTATTGCTCTTTTTACTTTTGTAGTATTTTAATTTCTCTGGGTTAAATTCAGAATTTCACTTTTATGTTTATTTAAGTTAATCTTGTTGCCTTTGCTTATTGTTTTAAAGTATTCAGTAATTTAAAATTTGGTAATTAACACATTTTATACTATTTTTCTTGCTTTATGTGGTCTTCCAGTTTGAAAATCACACCTTTATCTTCATATATATATATATATATATATATATATATACACATATATATTGAGTCAGAGTCTCACTCTGTCACCCTGCTGGGCTCAGGCAATCCTTCCACTGCAGGCTTCCATGTAGCTGGAACCAGAGGCATGTGCCACCATGCCCGGCTAATTTTTTGACTTATTATAGAGATGAGGTTTCACCATGTTGCCCAGGTTGGCCTTGAACTTTCCTGGCCTCAGTAATTCCTCTTGCCTTGGCCTCCCAAAGTGTTGGGATTATAGGCATGAGACACCGCGCTGGGGTTCATTAAAATCTTGATGCAAATCTAGAATAGGATACAGTCAGGAAAACATTCCTAGGATACTGACCTAACACTAGTATCTAATGCTGGGAGTGACTATACCTAACCCTTCTACAATACAGCTTCTGATTCTTCATCTTGTCCCCAGTGATACTGATTATAGACTTTTAAGACTTATCTTCAGCCTGGATTGCATTTTATTTTCTGTCTATACTTGCATCTTCAGTGATTACAATGAGTACATGGCTTAAAATACAACACTATGCTGCTGGGTCCAAGTTTATTGCTCCATCTTGGACCTCCCCCAAGAACCCACTTTATAAACCAAACTGCCTACATGAGATTTCCATCTGGAATCTCACAGTTACCTCCCCAAACTAACACATTTGTCTCTGTGCTGCTATTAAAAAGTACACACATACAGACTAGGTAGTTTATAAATAATAGAAATTTATTTTTCACAGTTCTAAAGATGAAGAAGTTTAAGACCAAGGTGCCAGCAGGTTTGGTATCTGGTGAGGGCTACACTCCCTCCTGTCCAAAATGACGCCTTGTTGCTGCATCCTCCAAAGGGAAGGAATGCTTTGTCCTCACATGGCAGAGGCGCAGTAGGGCAAGAGAATGCTCCTTTCCCCTTATGTCCTTTTATAAGGTTGCTAGTTCCATTCGTAAAGGTGGAGACCTCATGACTTCATCACTTCCCAAAGGCCATAACTCTTCATACTGTTGCACTGGGGATTGAGTTTCAACATGAATTTTGGAGGTGACACCATCATTCAAACCATAGCATAACCAAAAACAGAGAATTGGTTTTCACCCCCTTCAACCTATACTTACTCTAAAATTTCTTATTTTGCAAATGTCTTTGTTTTTGTTTCTCAGGTCGAAATTCTTAGAGTTATCCTTGGTTGGGATCTCTTACTTGTTCTGTCTCTTTAATAATCAATCAGGAAAAACTGTGGGCTTTTAACATTTGGCCACTTCTTAACAATTCTGCTCTGATGACCCTAAGTCCAGTCACCATCAGCTCTTCCATGGATGGTTGTGATAACTTCCATTTGGCCTCCCTGCTTCCCACACTTGCTTCCTAAGGTCTATTCTCCACATAGGAGGAGGGATGACACTTTTCAAACTAGTGTCAGACAGGTTACTTTCTGCTCAAGATCTTTACTGTCTTTGTATCTCAGAGTACAATCCAAAGTCTATAGATTGTTCAAGGCTCTCTATTAACTTGTCCCCAGCCTCAGTTTCCCTTTCTTATCCTTCTCTGTTTTCTATCACCCTGCCTTTGCTTCAGCCATTCTGGCTTCCTTGCAGTGTCTTCCCAGCTTAGGGCTTTGTGCAATCCATCTTCCTCCGATATTTCCTCCACCCTCTCATTCCTCTTTTTCCTCTCTTCATTCCCTTGCTTTCTGCAGTCCTCTGCTCAAGCGCTCAGATGCACTTCATCAGAGAGGGCTTTCATGATCAGTACCACCCTCATTCTCCTTAATCTGCTTAATTTTGTTCATGATATTATCACCTCCACACATGTTATATATTTATTTTTCATTCCTCTCTTCTGGAATTTAGGATTGATTTATGTATTTTTTTTTTTCAACTGTTGTATATTCAGTGGCTAAAATGGTCCTAGAATATAGAGGGAAGTTAATAAATATTTGTTAAATGAGTTAATTGGATAGATGAATGCCACACACAGCATTAAATTTTAGGTGAGAAAAATATATCTGCAATATAATGCATAAAAAAGAGAACTAAAAATTCAAAATTTTTTTGTTATGCATTTTTAAAAAAAAGCCTATACATTTGAATTTGGCCATCTTAAAAATCTAAACCGGCAGGGTGCAGTGCCTCACGCCTATAATCCCAGCACTTTGGGAGGCCAAGGTGAGAGGAATGCCTGAGCCCACAGGTTTGAGACCAGCCTGGGTAACTTGGGGAGACCTCATCTCTACAATAGATCAAAAAATTAGCCGGCTATGGTGGCGCATGCCTGTAGTTCCAGCTACTTGGACGGTTGAGGTGGAAGGGTTACCTGAGCCCAGTAGGTGGAGGTTGCAGTGGCTGTGAGCATGCCACTATACTCCAGCCCGGACGACAGAGGAGATGCCAACTCAAAA